CATTATAATATCAGGTCATTCAAGAATCAAAAGTGTTGTCCTTGTACGATTATTATTATTCTAAAATCTAAATTATTATTTGTTTTCACTGTATAATATACATATAATATTTTCTAATATTAGTTAACTAATATGATCATTAAAAAACGCTTTAACAACCAAATTTATTATAGATTAGTAAGAAGAAGAACTGTGTGGATAAGGTGACAATTATGACTATATGAGAGCATTTCTTATAATTAAAACGATGGAGCGTTCGATGCGAAGCATATGATGAATGATAATACGTATATTTATGGAATGACCTAGGCAATGACCTCAAAAAAGCTCCGAAAAAAAAGAAAAATAGGCCATGGAATATAAGACCAAAAGAAAAATATACATTGTCCTTTAAATAAGTAAGCAATAATTGTAATAAAATAACAAAATATTATCTTGTATAAGATAAGTAATCAAATTAAAATAAATATAAGTACCTATACATATTATCTATAGAGTATAGATACCTAAAGTATTATTAAAAAAATATTTAAAAATAAATATTATAATACATGTAAATTATTTTGCATTTATATAATAATTGTAAAAGCACCTTAAAAGCCTTAATTTACTATATTCCAACAACTATGGAGCATTAATTTTATTACTGATTTTGAAGTTAACCTATACAGTTTTTAGAATAAAAATGCAAACGTATATGTTGTTTTGTATTGTGTTTAAAGTCTTTAAACATGCAATACTGTAAATGAGTATCTTAGTATCTGTTTGTAGATAATTTATTTTTGTTTTTATTTGACGAGATAACATCAGCTTCAATCTTATAACAAAAAATACTAGGTACTTCAAGATTTGGGCAATGACTAAGTGTATACAGTTAAATCTAGAATAAGATACCAACAACACACAAGTTACTATTTAGACTACTGACTATTTGAGTACCTATTTGACTCGGGAGTCGGGATCATTTAACTGTTATTACCCTGTGATAACTTTATCTTAGGTACACTATTATATAGCTACAATGCTACATATCTGGGTATATCAACCATCAGACTTAGGATCATAAATTATAGTCGATTATAATAATATGGTACCTCAGATAATCAACATTACTCGAGTTTTTTTTGTGAAAATTGCATCGGTATTGGTCTGACAATTAATTTTTCCGACAAAATAATAATTAAGAGTTCAATTTTTTGTTAGACCTAGCTTTTTATTTGGTAAAACCAGGGATCGAAACCGGTTAAAACCGCGGTTTTTTCATATTTGAACACCGTAACCGGAACCGAAACCAAAAACTTTAAAAAACCAATACTGAAACCTAAAATCATAAAAAAAAAACAGTTTACAAAACCCAAACCATAACCATAGAATTTACCGTTCTTAAAACCGATTATAATTTAAATAGGTTTCTTTGAATTTTATAAAGTTAATGACCTAGCTATATTATTTATAATTCTAGTTAAAACGAGTATTTAATATTTATATGCGAAGAAAATATTTTGTTTGTATCCCGATGTTATTACTGAGTATTACAAAATATTAATAGGTAATACGAATATTATTCTATTTATATTTTATAATATTATTACCAAACTTATAATATCATTACTACACTACATATATTATAAAATTATTATATTGTTTCAAAATTAAATACAAAGTATATTACAATTGTTATTTTGTTCGCCCCTAGCACCTATATGCACGTCTGTATTGCTGTTTTAAAGTATTTGTGTATATTATTATTTATTATAATGTTATTCAAATTGTTTCATATTCGGCTGATCCGCATCTGTCCATCAGTCATCAATCGTTCATATCATTATCATCAGTCTTCTCAGTATGTCCCCTGATGGCCTGATGTGTGTACCAAATCTTATAACGTGTATTTGAATCTTAACTGTAAGCTTTTTAAACAACAATATTTTCAATAGTCCAATACACTTTTTTAGTATCCATTTAAATTAATATTTTGTTCAAATATCATAAGCATTAATCACATAGCAAGAGATTTATTATACTGTAATATAGTGTGATGTTATTGTAAATTACAATTAAATATCAATGTAATCGAATATCTAATGATATATCAACCATATTATGTTGTATGCAAAAGTAGGTACAATACATATAAAAGTTAACAACACGAAATTAGTTCTGCTGAATATTTGCTATATTGTATAATATGTACCTACAATAATTATACAAATTGGAAATATTTTAGGTATTTAGGCTCAGCCCTTAATTGTTAATAGATAATAAAAATTCGTTTACAGTTATTAGGTACAGGAAAACAAAATCGAAATTTTCAAAAACCGTTCTTAATACCGATAAATTTAAAAAACCTTTTTTAAGCATAAACCAAAACCAGAAAATCGTTCTCAAAAACCGAAACCGTAACCGTTAAAATTTTAAACCGTTTCGATAACGGGTTAAAATAATGTTCCATGGCCTATTTTTCATATATTTGACCAGTTGTCTTGGACCTTTATTCGAACTATTACTACCAATTGCAATATTGATATTGGCTTAAGAATGTATATAGTGAGAAGGAACTTGAATCAAGTATGTTTTCGTTTGGAGTGATATATAGGGATAAATAATAAAGATAACTCAAGTTCAGAGTAAATCAGGAGCCATTAAGATAGCAGAGATTTAACATTTAAGTCTCTGTATATGTTACAATAAGTTAGTAGGTATTGCATTCATTGCGACTATTATGTAATATTTGTATCTATGGTTAGTGGACTCTTATAATATAGAAGCAATGTGGGAAGGAGTCCCCAGTGCTTCAACTTGTAAGCGTATATACAACACAATGAACCGTCCTCTGAACTAAATATACATCTTAATGTTAATATACTGGTAAGCCAGAAAAATTATGATACTTTTTGGGTCACATTAATGTTGTTTTATATGTCTATAAACGCTAACTAACGTTACTATAAATTAACGAGTTATACACTTATTCAGGGGTGGACTGGGCCACTGTGCTACTGTGCCATTGCACAGTTGGCCCCTGTCATGATATATTCCCCCTGGCCGGTACAAAATAATCTGCATATGGTATGATATTATTATTGACTATTTTTTCAGGACCTCTTCTGTTTAGAACACCTTGGTAGTAGACCAACATGATCCACTCCGCTCAACTTAACTTTAAATACTTATAACTATAGGGCCCGAATTTTAATGCGAAATGCATTAGTTTTTAGAAAGTCCCCGCCAATGCTTTTCAAGTACAAAATCCGTTACACACATCAATGAATTGAAAACTTAAACTTTTATTTTGCATTTTTATCAGTTTTGGCGTTTTTTGAGCGATAGTTATTGTAATTTTTAAATAATTTTGGTAATTTTTAGTGCACATTTATACATGATGATATACATTTTTAGATTAAACTTAATTGGTACCTAATTCAAAACATTTTGTTCCAACAATTCATAGTTTGTCGATCGTACTATTTATGATTTTGATTCGTCAGTAATGTATTTATCTATATACAGTTTAACGGCTGTTATAAATTATGCATTCGTATTTTAACTTAAGACGGAGGCAACACATGGCGACGTCCTCTTAAGGCTGCCACGGATCCCCGAAATGAGTGTCGCGGATCCCCTGGGGGCCGAGGACCACAGGTTAAGAACCGATGCTCTACAATATAATAATATTATCCATGATTTATGATTCAAGTACAATAAAAATAACAAACAAATAATTATAAAATTACCTCTAATAAATTTTAATTTAAAAAAATTATTGATTATGGTGATTGGTGAGTAACTAAAAGGCAAAAATAAAGTTCTAAAAGTTTAAGTTACAATAGTACAGGGCTGATTTTTTTTTCATTAATAGTGGGCCGACTGGGTTCCACTTTCCCTTGCACTTATTATAAGCTTAACGCGATTATGACCTTCCTATATTTAAATAGGTATATTACTAAAACGTAAAAAAATTAGCTTTATATTGAGATCGCATACTCGTATACTTTTTTAATCTCGATTCCTGAGTTTGACCTACGAAATTAAAACTTAAAATAATCAATTTGTTTTGTTGTCCATTCTTATAAAGTTATAACATAACATAATAATTATAGTATTAAAAAATAAATTATATAATAGGAACAATAAGGTACTTATTACTTCTCAGCGAGAAGTTCTCACTTATTGTATAATACGTTTATAGTTGTCAATCAATTAAAATGTTTTCACATCATTGTTATTTGTCTACCATATTAAAAAGTGGTCTGCAATAATAGTAGTATTATTATTATATTGGACCCATTCTGCAAGGTCCAAGTCTATGATCTAAACTTCAATCGGAATAATGTTTATTTTATTTAAATAATATTATATATTTAAATAAAATATATATATATATATGTACTGGGACACTGGGGCCCTGTGCAGCGGCGTGCGACGATTGAGACGATGACGTGCAGTTGCCGGAGCGGTGGCGGCGTCGTCGTCCACCTTGGAAGAACCGAAGAAAGTGAAAGAGATGCGTGTTTACCTATTATAGAGGGGCACGTGGACAGACACCGCCGCCGTCGCCTAAATAACAATAATATATCTACGCGATAACTGACGAGCGTCAGTCGATGGCCGACTCTGTACGACCGGCGAATAATATAAATGATATATCAAGCCCGATAATAAATTGCGATTATAAAAAAATCAAAATAACATAAATCTTTCTACTAAATTATTATTCTCGACGACACGGCAACACAACACTAATAATATTAATAATATATAACCGTCAGTCGAGAGATAGGCGACCGCAGTCGACGATCATAACTCACCTACGACACGTACCATTACATATCACACGCGCAGTGCTGATATCGAGTACCCGAATACACGTCCGCAGGTACTCCACCTGACCGTTAGCGCCGACGCCCGTGTGTAGGTTTTGGGTCCATCGCCTTTGGATCCATACGCACGTCATCGCCTTTGCATATCTACCCGACATTTTTCGGACGTACCACCCGACCATGTCCATGTCGTTTCGACGATGGCCACTGCTGGTCGTCCTGCAGTGTTTCGTCGCTTTCGTCTCTATCGGGTCGGAGCAAGTCCTGGCGAACCGGAAGTGCGATTCCAGACACTTCGCAGCCCTAAACGGAAGCGGATTCAATGAGTGTCATCAGAATGACTCGTCGTCGTCGTCGCCCACGGGACAGCCGGAGCAACAGCGGCGATACGCCTTTTTGTCGACCGACGACAATAAGAACGTTTCGTTTCTAGTTCAAAGAGACATGTACCGCGGTGAGTAAGAATAGGATAACTATAATGTTTAAGGTGATTGGTGATGACCATTTGCATTGTCGTATTTATAAGACGCGTACCTCTTATAGGTACGTATGGGTACGCTATAGGTAGGTACAAGAGTACAACTACTAGGCGTCTATATAAGCGTACAAGAATTGGAAAATCACATATAATAATATACCGAAAGCCTGAAATGCACTATCAAATCTGATCAGTGGACATTTCTTATGTTTCAATAAATTATGAATATGTTTCAAAAAGCGAACAAAACGCATGGTCTCTAATAATAATATAACTATTATGGAACACACATATTAATTAAGGTTTTCTGTGTTTGTTAGGTACTTTCTTAAATAATTATAACAATATAATAGCCGTACTAATAATAGAGGTATACAGCGTACCTAGCTATGCTCAACATCGTGTTGTGAAATAAATCGTAAATTTTGTGAAATACGATAGTGACAACAACCTCCAAACAACGAAACGAAACCGCTGACCAGTTTAACCTGCGAAAAAAAATCCGCCGCCAATTAATTCAAAACGCTCACACAGGTTGTACTCTGCTTATTTTGCAAAGGTCATACCTATCATTTTCAGCAACAATTCCGTCAATCAGGTTTATCCAATTCGTCAAATAGAATGTCTTACAAAATTCAAAATCATGACGTGATGATATAAATGTACAATAATCAGGTCATTTAACTATAACTATTATTTTAATGTCAAAAAATAATAGCTAACTAAATTACCAGATTTTTTACTTTCATTAAAAAATATATACATTAATTTCAAAACCTCTTGTAACTACAACCTAGTACCTACATATATGATATCCATAGGTACTATTTTACCCGATCTTCACCAGAAATTACTATCCAATTTTCAAAATATATATTTTCGATATAACAAATATACCTACACCAATAGTTTATCCAATAAATCTTAGAATATTATACTATGAACATTTTGTGTACATCAATTTATGAAACAAATTTATATGGTGAAATAATATGAACTTTTTATTTATTAAATTTCTAGCACAGTAAACTGTAAAGTCAAATGTATTTTTGTTTATTATTATAATTTTATAATTTATCATTATTATAATTAAACAGTATAGTACTTCCAACTGTTTGTTACGCTTTTTTTTTGCTCATCAAGTTCATCGGCTAATTACCTTCTATCAATTATTATTTGAAGACCATATAGACCACATCGTTCCTATATAGTTATATAACTAGTATTGGTTACCTTTTGACTATACAAAGTCAACGGTTGTATAAAATATTTTTTGTCGATTTCATAAATCCGTTAATCATTAGAATACCTTAAACTTGTATGAAACGCTCATAAAGGTTTGAAAATCGTTTTAATCATATTTTTCGAGTTTATCGTACCCCTATATTATTATATTTATTTGAATACCTATTTGTTATAATGATGATATACCTATATGGACATCATTTACTTATTTGGTCTAATTAATCACAAAAAATGAAATATAAAATGTAAATATCTATACTAAGTAAGGCAGAACCGATAGACTTGATAATTCAATTAATTTACGTAATTCGTAAGTTCATAAACATAATATAAGTTATAATGTATATTGTATATGAATATGATGTTAAATTAATGTAGCAAATAAATAATCAAAAAAAATAATTCAGGACAAGATATAATGAATAGATTTATACTTTTATAATTCTATCTTTGTTGACGCAGACGTAACTATCTATTTAAATCTAATAATTATCTTACCTATGAAATTGCATAGCAATTTTTAATGTTCCAAGTTAAGAATGCCATCATTAGAACATTTAAAAAACAAAATTAAAACACTCAAATAAATGATGTACCTATAAAAAACATATTATGTTTTTAAATAAAAAAAGGTACCGTTTTATTTAAACGGATTTTGGTGCAATCTATCGAAATTATGTACCGTAATTATATTTTTCATTAGATACCGTTCTCTTTCTTACACCTATATAGGTACAAAGAGAATATTGTTGAACTGTCGACGAAGTAATTACACAAACTACCTATACCTAATTAGTATAGATTTGAGTAGGTAATATTTTCTTAACGGCTTCCTTTTGAAACATTTGCGCTGTAGTTCGAACACTTAGATACAATAATTTATATAATTATATTTTAACTATTTTAATGTAAGGTTTGGGTTCAACAATTCTGAAAATATTATTTAGGTAGGTACTTTACGTCCGTAATGACATTATTGTGTAACCCGAGACATAAACATTTTACAGCGTATGATAGTTTGCCGAGTGAAATATTTGTCCTCGCAAATTTAAGTTATTGTGCATAAATTATTTTTATTAGGTAATAGCTAATAACATATATTATGGTATTAGGCGGGTATGAAACGTATAATCAAAAATCGTACAAATTATATTTTACCTAGCAAAACAACGATGTTGCGTATCTTTATACAATCTACATACACGGATTACAAATATTACGCCAACATATTTTATAGTTTCTGCAAACTGCAGAGTATGTTTCTCATTGATAACTGTGACAGGTGATTCGACAATCATACATTTTATCCAATATTGGTTGCTATTATAGTAATGTTTAAAACAACAAATATATTTGTAAATACTTAGTCCATGTACCTACCGTTCTACCTATCCTGAAAACTCAGAATATTTTTTAATTCCTAAAATGATAATATATTTTAAATATTGATACTAACATTTTTTAATCATCGAAGCCTTTATATTTTTAAGACTTTTATCCATAGATCTTAGTATTTATACATTTTATTAACTCAAAGTACTTTTAGTTAAATTGAGTTGCCTTAAAATTTTCAAAAAAAAAATCATCTGCTTAACAATATACAGTAAAAACTCTATCACATTAAAAAATTATAAGTTTGTATCGCCAAACTGCACACTTCTTCAAATCTAAAAGTACACAAATACATAAATTAAGATATTTTAAATGGAGAATAATTTTGAACTTATTTATAAACCCTTTACACTTACGACATAAAAATAATTAATATGTTATTGGTTTTACCGTTACCATACAATATGATATATTATGATGTTGAATTAAAATTGTGTTATTATATTGATGGCCTAAACCAGAGGACATCTCCTCAAACAAGTTGATTTAATTTCATATAAGTAGCTGTAAAATGTAAATTTTATACTCCGTGTCTATAAGTTGTGTAAAAATAACTCAATACTTCGTTGATTTCATTAACGTGTCGTAAGAAAAATATACATTTCTCCAACAAATAATAATGTAGAATCTGCTTAGTATAACTCTTAAAATAAACCAAGGCAAAACGTCCGTTAATGCATAAATAAAATTATATATTTTCACTTCACTCAGGTCAATACAGGCTATTACAGGCGTCATATTCACGTACACGTATATATATAATCAATACTTGTGTGTAGCGTGTTGCTTAATTTGGATTTAGGGTTAAACATCGTCATTATAGGTAACCATTAATGCAGCTCCACATATTATGGTTGGTACCAACGTCTTGTATTGGTCTTATTATTAATATTGTGATGACAGGAACATTTCTTGCGTGAGTTAGGTGCAAACCTAACCTGCAAAGTGCAAACATATTATATAGGTGTTTGCATTGTAAAGTTAAGACTTTTTCAGGAGCTTTCTGAGCACCCACTAGCGAAAGGGAACACTAAGTTAGTATATCCCTAAGACTCGTCGACAGAACTCATAGGCTTTGTTACATTACAAAATAAAACATTCATAATAAATTACGAGAGAGAATATTTTGATGGGTAACCAGTTAATACATAATATTTTACATGGCGTTTCAAGTAATAAATAATAATAATTATGTCTTTGAAATTAAAAATTTTAATATAATTTCGAATACCTACAGCATTTCTATAAAATGTTTATTAAATTTATTTTTAATATTTTTGCTTATCAATTAATAGTTCAGCAATATCATGTTTCTATCGAGTATCATTATTAATATGCAAAACTAAATAAAACTAATAACTCATATTGTTTACTTTAAAAGTGTACCTACACACCTATCAGATTTGCAAACTGCAACGTATTCAACAATGCACTATTCATAAAATATGCCTCAACCATCAAAATATGGACTTATATATTATATCAGTAGGTATATTATGCAAGATTCTATATTTTTATTTCTATGAAATCAGTTTAATTTCAAATTACGACATTTCAAACCCTCGTAAATGAGTAATGACTCAGTATTATATCTACCTATATAAACATGGAAATACGTTTAGTATTTCTAATTGTAGTTTTTTCCCATTTAAATACTATATACGTCATGCATTGCCATTAATCGATAAGACGTACAACGTCACGTTTAAACACTTTAAGTAAATTCGTTAAAAAAGCCAGATCAATCAAAATAGAAATTAAATAAGAAATCGTTTATTCGGCTGCACAAATAAGACGATGCATGACAAATTTAGCCAAAAAATTAAATACATTTTTAAAAAATATTTGTTTTCACTATATGCAATTTTCAATATTATAATATTATCATTCCATCAATTATTATTTTATTATATTATATTGAAGGTTTCATAACATCAAAAAGCAAGGAACATGCCTATAATCCATAAATAAACCAAACTATACATTTTTGAAGACAAAATATAACGTAATAAATATTTTGGAAAATTGTATACCATAATATATTATTCAAAATGAGTATAGATTGATTTTCTTTTTATCTTTAAGTTATACATTTTATTACATAGGTAAATTTATAAACACGGTAGTTACCTGTATTGGACAAGTTAACATTTAAATAAATGTATATAGGTCATTCATTACCCATAAATGCCTTTAGTGTGAAACTTCTCAGGACCTTAGTATAGCCTTTATCTGGCTCTCCATGTAATATAAGCTGCATTTTAGTAGGTTAGCATTGTTTAAGTGATAACTACTGATAATAATTGGACGTTCATAGTAGCATTTTCCAATTTATTTTT